TACCATGAGAGTCTATGGGGATTGACTCACTTTTGGAGGCAGCCTCAAGTGGCCATTTGAAGAACTGCAGTTTCTGGCAATTCTGCGGAGGCTTCGTTTTTCAGCTGCAGAGGTTGTTGATTGGTTCTTCAATACAGACTTTTTCAGTTTTCATCATTTAAAGAAATTATGCTATATTTGAATGGCATTCCACTGGGTTATTTTACTTCTGCAAATACTCTGCTGGGTTTTTTTAATATGCATTTTAAAAAAAGAAAAAACTCCTTTTTTCCCATTGCAAAAAGAAAAAAGAAAAGTAAAAATTGAAATAGAGGGGAACATCCAAGATGGCAGCCAAGCCTGATGCCTGATGTCTGAGTCTTTGTGTTTTTATGGAAGGCATTCTTCATCCTTCTACGTCATTTTATTATTGACTGAGTGATACTTCTTAAGTACAGCATCTCCAGTCAATCAGGGTCTTTTTGGATGAAGCATTTTGGTCAGATGTCTCCAGATTACCACAGCACTCTAAACCTGGACTACAGATGCTTGAGGCCTTCAGGCTGAGGCCTTCAGTGCCAAGAAAGAGAGAAGGACTTGGCATGCCCTCCTAGTGCTGCAGTGGATGACTGATTCTTACTGTTTTCTGCTTCACCTGCATTTGGTGAGGCACCTGCTATATTTCCTTGCTGTGTTTGGACTCTCAGCCTGGTGACGGCCTGCGACAATCTAGGAATTTTTACATCGGATGGTACTTTGATTGAAAGGGTGTCCTCCTATAAGTACTTGTGAATATGGATTGATGAAAAGCTTTTATTTAATGTACATATCTCTAATTTCATTCAAATTGAAGACTGGCTTTTATTTTAGACTTAAAACATGCTTCACATTCTCTGCAAAGAAAAAACTTGTGGAAGCCACCTTTCTATCTGTGATTGATTATAGTGATATACTGTACAGCCTCCTCCATCTCAAAGAGACTTGATTCAGCGTGTCATGCTTCACTACGTTTCATCTCAAATGCAAAATCTGTCACTCACCACTGTATTCTTTATGATTTGGTTGGCTGGACATCACTGAGCATCTGTAGACAACAACACAAGTATATGTTTATCTATAAAGCTCTGCTGGGAAAACTCCCAGAATACCTCAACACTCTTCTCACTATCAGCTCTAGCCACCATCTGCGTGCCTCAAAGTGGTTGCTTTTAAATGTCCCCCGGATTTTAACGGATTTTGGTTAAACAGCATTCTCCTATCATGGTCATGGAATAACCTTCAGAATCATCTTAAACCAGAAATATTAGGATATAAGTATCTGGAACTCCCAACTAGTCAGTCAGAACTGATGAAGCATCTTGGATTAGAGGTGAAACGTCTTCAAGGAACTCAAGCAAGTCCAGTTACTACAATTAATCTGCCAGAATAACCATGACCTGGATGACTGACAATCCTCACAGACACGATCTGTTTTATTGTTTTACTGTTCATTAGTCATTTGTGTGCCATGTATCTGTTTTGTATTAGTTTTTGTTTTTTTTTTTACTTTATATGACTGTTTCCTTGACCTGGTCGCCCTTGTAAAAGAGATTTCTCATCTCAATGGGACTTCCTGGTTAAATAAAGGTAAATAATAAAAAAAAAAATAGGTTGGGCCAAAGGATTATTAGTCAGATGTCAAATGATGTTTCTTCACCCAGTTTTCAGCGTCAGTGCTTCCCAGTGTCTTCCCAACCTGTAGTCACTTTTGTTGGATTAATGTATCCTCATATTATCTTACACGAGGAGTGAAACTGTAAAATCATGATTTTAAATGACTGTAAGAAGCTGGTTCTTTTGCACCAATTCAACTGCATACGTGTGTCTCATCATGTATTCCCTATGTTATCTTATCAAGTATGACTGCGTAGTCAAGTGGTTTTTTTTTTTTCCTCCAGTATCAATGGTTTTCTTTCTGGAAGCAAAAGTAGAACAATCAGGCAGCACATCTCAACATCATGTTCACCCGAGGCTTCCCAGCTAATTACCCAAGACATTGATTCGCACCCCGATGTACCTCCACAAAGTGCGAGGAAGAGGAGGGAGGGAAAAGCAGAGCTAATGAAGGTGTCAACAGGAGTTCGCCACCCGAAGATGATTGTTATTGGAGTAAGGATTGAACTCATTTGCATTTTGATGCAAACTCGGGGCTGAACAATACGCATCAGTGCCTATCTACTGTTAACAGTCTTTGATAAGCCCACAGACAAAACGCAGTGATTCAATTCAAGGTGAACAAAATAACGGAGGGGTCCTGAAACAGATTGCATTTAACTGATGCCTCCATCAGGCTTCTGGCGACCGTCTGCCCAGATCTTCTGCTCTGTGTGATGAAGGAAAGAGAATCTATTTCTCACCCACAGAATGAGAAATCAATGACCCCGAGATGGATCTGTGTGAAATGAGATATGAGCGTCGCCTCGGAGGATTCGGGCCGGGCTCGGACTGACAGCTGACTGACAGGGGTTAACTGACAGGAAGGCCCGCTGGCTGGGAGGTGTAAAACCGACCCTCTCGGACTCTCACTCCAAATATATCGTGCAGCTAAAGGTTAAAACGCTACATGCCGAGGGCGCGTTGATACACGGAGGCCAGCTGTTGCTTCATTCCCATGTATTCTTGCAACTGATTGTGCATTAGGCCCTTTTGGCCTCTTGCTATTGCTACATCTGTCAAGCTTATCACACGATACTTGTAGAGAACAATGATAAATGTGACAGCTTTACCTGGTTTGAAAAATTAGATCCCTGATTTCAGTCAAAGGTCGCAAAAAAACCAGCTGATTGTTTCTTGCTGGTGAACTACTTACATCAATGTGCCAGAACGTTAAAACCAATGAAGGGATCGATCATCTCATTACTATGTGATTTTCTAAATGGGAAACATTCATGAGGATGCTACTTTGACACGCAACACCTGCAACAACAAAACAGTGTTGTAGACCAAGCACAGCACGATGAGCTACAAAGTGCTCGAGGAACACGACCAAGAGCCCCAAGCAAAAATCAATCGAAATTTCATGAACGTGGTGCTCGCCTTTGCAAACACATAGTCCTCTTTACAAGAAACTAAACCCTGTCTGCAGGTTAAATAGATGAAAGACAGCGACTGCTTCAAAATCTGTTAGAGATGATTATCAGAGCTTTAAAGAAATGTGAAGGATTTTTTAAAAAACCTACATTTAGAGAGAGCTAAGGTAATACTGAGTAATGACTACACAGAGATTTCCTTTTTTTTCAGGCTAGAACCTCTTTTTGTTGTGGCCTCGTGTATGGTTTTCTATTTAGCTGATGGCTCGTCTTTTCTTTTTGATATCTTTTGTTTGTAATTGACTAAATTTAACTTTTCATGTCTGCCTGTATGTGTAAGTTTTAAGTTGTCTTCTATATATTTTTTGACCGTCTTGAGTTCTCGTTTTGTTTTTGTTTTGTAAATCCTGTGTGATACAGATTCTGGTGTCCTTATTATAGTCTTTGTAAGTGACATGTTCCCCTTTCTGTATATATTCTGTGTTAAAGCTGTATTATATTTCTAAATGATGGATGTAAATAATGATGAAATATTGTACGTACGTAGGAGCAGCCTTCACCAGCAGAACAAAAACTGCTCAGGAATGACTCGACGAAGACAACAAAGAGTCTAAAGCACTGACTCGTCTCCTGAGTCAGGTCACTGTGGCAGCAGGCTAAGCAGGGCATTGCAGATACCCCTCTTTTTATACCAAGTTCTGGGTCTAAAAATCCCCCAGTTTTTAATGTTACAGCTGCAGATTTGAAAACAAAGAAAATCTCTGGAATGAAAATGAAAAATCCATTCATACTGTGCTAAAATAATGACATCCTAATTAAAAAGTTCACATCTCTTGGGTGCCCCTATAGCTCATCTAGTTGAGCGGGTGTCCTATGAACAGGGGCTATAGTTCCCCGACACAGCGGTCGTGAGTTCGACTCCCGCTCATGACCCTTTACTGCAGGTCTCTCCCTATTCTTCTCCCCCTGATCTAAATAGAGGCAAAAAAAACCCCCAAATATATATATATGCATTTATAAAGTTCACATCTCAACCAGTGAATGATCCATGTAGAAGACAATTGAAATAAAGAATATTTAGTATCAATATACAACTATTATAGGACGCCTAGTTTGTATACTTTAGTGTATTTACACTTTATGTAACAAGTGAAACTAGGACGAGACCTATTTTCACTATCTTATCCACACATGCTAGCAACTGTGCTAATGTTTGAGAAGATAAACGCACTGTTTATTCCATCGAATACACTTTTGCTCTTGTGTTTTTGGTCCCGGAAAGGCTTAAAAAACAAAAGAGGCACCTTTATACAAAAGTCAGGAGGAAAATCCAGGATTGCCACTTGAAGGGTTTTTGTAAATAATCTATTTGTAAGGCAAGAATCAGCAGCTTTTGTTGGCGAGAACTAGGGCAGCAAAATAAATTTACTGTCTGACCACACACGCACCGACACATTTCACTTCTGAACTTTATTCCATAACGTAGCGAGCGTCATTCTTTTGTTTATGGCCTTGTTTTCATGTCAGTATTGACTCATAACCTCCATGAGTAGAACCAGCGCAGTGACAGTTTACAGGCTAATTCAGTTAAAACATTACTAAGCAAAGGCACACCTGTGCACATGTGCCTTGTAAAGTCATAAAATGTGAAATCTCGGCCAGCGGGTTTCTGTAAATTGTTTCAAAGTCACGTTTGCTTCTCGGAAATCTTGGATCAAGTCTGTGTAGTAAAGCTGTTTTATCATTTAAAGGGCTTCTTATCATTTTATCTCCAGAAGCATGAGATCATGCCTATCATATCCCTGCTGGTTTTGTTACTGGTATAGGACTAATTATTCTGATTGCTGCCACCGTCTAGCTCAAAAAAAAAAGAAAAAGAAAGGGTGTGTCTGGAACGATATAGTCTTCACACCCTTTATAAAGACACATTTGTGCTCACCTCTAAGTGCGAAGATGGGCTGCAGACGCACTGATTGCATCTCAAAGCCTCTGTCGGGCCTTTTTGGGAAACTTGGATCGACAGTAGGCTCCTATCCTTTTTATTTTTTCGTTTTCCCTATTTTCCTCTCGGCAGCCCTCGGCGGAGGCTTCATTTTTCTCAATGACAGGGCGGACAATGATCTTGAGCGGCAATTCACGCCGAGAAAAGGACCCTCGAAGGTAACAAGGGCTTTTGTGAGAGAAAACTTCCCCTACAATGACTCCATGTTTTCTGAAGACAGGCTGTACGACAAACCTGACTTTGCATCCCTCATCGCTGTGGCAAGAGACAACCTAAACATCCTGGACGGTCTCGCCTTTGAGGACATCATCAGACTCAACAACAGGATCCTTAACATGACCGTGGACAACGGAAGACTGGGATTCACTGACTTGTGCGCCAAAGTCAATGGAGAATGCGTCTCGAATGTCATCCTAGACATCCTGAGCTCCAATGAAACTGAGTCACACGGCCTCACCTACCCAACATATACGTACAGATCCAGTTCGGTGTTTCTGGGCTCTGTGCTCGGCGGAGTCGTTACAGATGGCAGCAGCTCAGTGAGAAGCGCTCAGGCTATGAAGCTCTTCTACTTCTTGGGGAATCACGATGCTGAAGCCTCAAAATTATGGCTGAAAGGATTCAAAGCGCTTCTCTCTGCTGATATGGACCACAAACTCATCGATGTATGTATCGCACTGCTACACCTTTATCCACACTGGTTGCTTTATTTAAAGCTGAAGTTCATAACTATATATAACAATATTTAATTTGATGTCATGTGATGTTGAATTACTGAGTGAGCCTACTGTGTGGTAGCTCAGAGGCCCAAAGGGATCAGAAGCTCATTATTTAATCAAAAGTCAATCAGTCGATTAAGGCAACACAAAGCAGTCACAGACAGACGAAAAATAACTACAAAGAGATGCAAAATTATTACAAAGAGGCTCAATATGATTGTAAACAATACAAAAATCATGTCAAAATGATAAAACTATTACCACAAAAAGACTTAAACTAACAAGAAAAACATACAAATGACCACAAAGAAGCTCAAAATGACCAGAAACACAACAAAATGATAACAAAAATGATCAGAGGTTTTTAAAAAATCATAAACTAATGACAAAAAGATACAAATGACCATAAAAAAAGCTAAAAAATGATGACAAAAAAATGCTAAATGACCACAACGAAATTTAAATAGTTATGAAAGGTATAAAACAACCACAAAACAATACAAAACCACAGCAAATGTGTAAAAGTTTGCACAAGTTAATGTAAATTGACTGCAAAAAAAAGCAAAATATGCAAATTAGCTAAAAAAAACTATGCAAATTGACAACAAAAGATGCATAGGTACCAAAAAGACACTGAAAGCTGTGACGAAGAGACGCAAAATAATCACTACATGATGCATTTTACCCCAATAAGACAAAAATAAATAAATAACCACGTGACCATACGACCAACATCGATCTGGAAGCCATACAATGCATGAATTTTTATTGTTATTATTATTATTATTATTGCAGTTCCCAGAATCATTATATTGTTTAATATTTAATGACAAAAGATCAATGAATGATTTTTATCCCAATTGAGCGGTTCAAGGTCGAGAAAATGCCGCTGTCAGCATCAAGAAATTCTTCCCAGATAAGGATGCATATAGCCATAAATTATAGATATACAATAGTCCTCATTTCACCTGCATTAGCCTCATTAGACTATCAGCCAATCAGGGTTGATCACTGATATCAATGAAAAAAACGCACCTGCACCCTTTTTATGACGTCTGCTCTCCACCACCAAGATAACCAACAAGATAAACCTGTAACCTGGGCTCCATTTAGGTCACGTCACTGAGTACAGATAATTTGATTTACACAGTTTGAGTGATCTTGTTGTATTAAGTTATAGTCACATCTGAAAATGTAGGAGATGGTCTAAGTTATTTATTGACAGACTAACCTTGACCTAGAAATATTAATCAAGTGGAAATATTTAAATCACATTTTACTTTAGCTAAATTTAACAATATGGAACTCTGAAAACATCTTTTAGTTTGTTACTGCTGTGTTGCACTTCACGCCTCATCTATCACTAATCTGAATACAGTAGCTGCCACTAAATAAGTTTATGCCCTCTTTGTTGTTTCTTTTTTTTTCCTTTTACAACCTGATAAGTGAGACTGTATGCGCTACAAATACACACTCACAATGTGTCTAAGCACAGCAAGAAATCAGCCATTGAAGCAGCTGAGGCATAAACTGTAACACATTATAATGAAATGATTACATTTAATGTTGGAAATTGGGTGACGTGTTGTACTGAGATGTTGCTTTGGGGACGAGAAACGTTCATTTCTAAAATAAGTGCAACTAATGTGTGACAAAATGCATTTGTACCGTCTCACTCTGTGTGCTTCCTTCCTGACATACTGTCCTGGAATCCGAGCTGCGCTGCCACACCGGCGCTACTGCTGTCATGACATCCGTGTGTAAACTGACTTGTGCCTCAAAGTGCTCATGTTGGCTTCTTTCTGCTGCTGTGCTCTGTTGTAGGTGTCTTACTACACCTCCAAATCCAAGCAGGAGGAGATTGACAGTCACACCACAGATGGCATCCCTTTATTCCTAATCACTTATGCCTGCGCTATCACCTTCTCGGTGATATCCTGCCTGAGGTAAGCAGTGATCAGTGACTGTCACACTGTGAGCGATTTGCTGACTGCAGGCCAAGTCCAGGACACACAGAGCTGCTGTTTATCAGTGTGAGGGATGCAGGTTACATGTAGTGAATGATTTCGGCATCGCTGTGAACAAAGCAGAGCCACTTCATCTGTAGTGAGAATTCATCTAAATCACTCCGAAACGACAAGAAAATTACAATAAGACAATAGAAAATGCCCTCTTGAAGATGCAAAACAGCCACAAAAGCATGCAAAATAGACGCAAATAGATGTAAAATTACATCAAAGACGCAAAATGACCAAAAAGAGACACAAAACGGACCAGAGAGCTGCTGTTTATTCATGTGAGTGAAGCAGGTTAAAGGTAACATAGTGACCATTGTGATAGAAATGCTTCGTTTTCAGTGAAAATGGATTACAAAATGATAAAATAAAGAAAAAAATACACATTAACACAATGCAAAATGGCCACAAATAATGCAAAATTACCAAGAAAGTGACTCAAAATGGTCCAGTTCGCAAAAATTGCTGCTGATCAATGCAGATCCAACAGATTACATGTAGTGTAGTGAACAGTTTGAGCATTTCTTTAGCATTCAAAGCCACTGTAAATAAAAATACCTCATTTTTTAGTGAAAATGTGCAACAAAATCAGTGAAAAACAACAAAAAGTGATGATAAAATGATACAAAATGGCGTTAACAGATGCAAAACAGCAGCAAAAATGTTACCACAAACCTGCAAAATGACCAAAATGAAGCTTTAAAAAAAAGAGCAAGGCCATAACAATCTATGTAAATACAATAACTGAACCTTTAGTGTCACGTACTGAAGGTCATTTTAATTTAAATTTTGTTAACTTTATGTATTCCTTTTTTCCTTCAAATTTGTTCCCAAATTCTTGTATTTTAAATGTCAATTTATAATCTGACAACAAGTTTTAAGGGACAACTTACAGAAATAGTTAAAAATAATGAGAAGAAATGTGCCAATTAAATTTTAAGAGAGAATGTTGACAACAGTTGCAGGTTTCTTTTTTAGAAAATGGAGGTAAAGTTAGAAATGAACATTGTTATACATTGAAGAGACAGAGAAAGTGTTATTCAGGTTTTGTCTCAAGGTAAAAAGAAGTCGTTTGTTTTTTGCACCAATTTAAGAAACAAGAATGTCTCCTGTTGCTTTAGAGATACTGATTTCTACTATTAGACACAGCCATGCTCGCTGTTTCCCTCTGTTTCTAGTTGTTATGCTAAGCTAAGCTAAGACGGTGAATAACTGTAATTGCCAAATGTCAAACTATTCCTTTGAAAGCAGCTGTAAATCTTATTGTTCACTGCTTTCTGTGACCTAGAGGATCACGGTGGAGTTCACTCTGTACACCCTAATTCATTCTTTAAACTACTTTTCATTGCCGACTCTACACAAAGTTCAATATCATAAAAACAAAATGATTTTGTTTGCGTGACACAAATACATGTCACACGTGAGTTTGACCTATTTTCAACAAATTTAGATTTACAAAGCTGACCCAGTGAACTCAAAAGATTTATTATTTTATTGAAGTAACTTTCACACTCAGTAAAAACAGATATATGCTCGAGGTATAGAATCATACTGTTAAAGTCTAAAGGGACTTTAATGGGAACTATTATCGGCTTTATGCAAATTATGGTTTTCTAGGGGTTTTTTTTAATAGCACAAACCCTTCTATATTTTACATGCAGATAACAAAATGACACCCCCTTTGTTCTTATGATAACTTTGTTTACTCAGTTACAAAATATGAATAATATTTACATAACCTGGGGAACAGTTGAAGATCATAAATCACGTTCCTCCCACACGTAATGAACCAGTCATGGTGTGAATGTGGGTCACTGTGAGGTCGCCCGAGTTGAATTCGTCGAGATAAAGCTTGGATAAAACTGCATTGTAATCTTTATTGGCAGCATTAATTCGATTGTATCACCGTCCTATCTTTACCTCGTTGGCAGGATGGACAACGTGAGGAACAAGGTGTGGGTGGCTGTGTTTGGCGTCCTCTCGTCCGGGCTGGCCGTTCTGTCCTCCTTTGGCTTGCTGCTCTACATCGGAGTGCCGTTCGTTATCACTGTTGCAAACTCTCCCTTCCTGATACTCGGTGAGAACAAGCAGCCTTTTTGTCGATTCAGATCGGAGCATCCAAGTGCTGAGCAGTGAAGCCGATATAAGACAAAGCAAACACTCTTCAAGTAGTCTGAAAGCAAATTATTTATCTCTACAGCCCTGTCCCTGTCACTTATCAGGTTTTACTGTTTGACATTCCATCAGTGACTGTCAGCATTTGGATTTAACTAAAATGAAAACCTACGAAAAGCTGAATGAAGGTTTTATTCACGTTATATTTTTAGTTACTCGCAATATTTCCAGAAGTATGTTCTTTAAACTAGCCCTGCTTTAGCCTATTGCTAGTTATGTTGGTCCTAACATTTTTGGTCCATTTTTCAACTCTAAATGTGATGGGTTTTTTTCTATTTATTTTGTAATGTTTTGATCAGTTAAAGCCTTTTTTTGTGATTTCAAATTTAAAAATGTGTATCTGGACAGTTACACTACAACATTTCCTTTATTTGATTTGATTGCACTGGTCTACACCCATTTTGGTGTCAAAGTTTTTTGGGCTGATTTTGGACAGTTGCAATGTGCTGAATCCAAATATTACATTGGTTTTGCTCAATGAGGGCAAAATTTTGATTTGTTGCCACATGCACTTTTAAAAAAAATTTTTGTGCACGTATCTATGCTTTGTATCACACAAAATTCTTTTTCTATTTCCTGAAATGAACAAATTCTGAAACCTTTACAAGTTGATACTATAAATATTTGCAGGTGAATTCAATTTATATAGAAAGTTTACCCCCTGGTTTATGAACAACACATTAGAGTCACGTGATTTTATCAGAAAGAGATGGAGAGCAGGTATCAGGGACACTGGGATGAAGTCATGATGGCTGATTATGCTGAAGAGAGACGTACCTGCGGCTGATCATTCCAGGAGTTCCAAGAAGCGCAAGTTCAAGCCCTGAATTTTGAGCAATGCTGATCAAACATGCAATTTACTTGTATTTACCTTTACAAGTGTTTACGCTCATCAACTTTTGCATCATTTAGCTTATGAAAAGGATTAGAAAATAAAATTTTTCCTCTAAAATCCGATTTCACATGAGAAATATTTAAATAAATCAATCACTAATGTCAAAAAATGTAACCGATTTAGTGGCAAAATCGATTTTTAAAAAAGAAATCGAGTTGGCATAAAAACCTGACATGATACAGAAAAGCAGATTTCATTTTTGGATTGAGCGTTGCAAAAATGTCCTTAATCAGTTTAAAAAAGTCCTTGACACCTTCAAAAAAAATTTTTTTTGTAACCCAGTGTTTATAGATCCACAAGTGGGATGTTATACATTTATGGCTGCTTGACTTACACTAATAAATGCACGTAAAATCTACAACACAAACGCTCAGTTTAAGCCTTCAGGTCATTAATGTTACGTACTCTTTCCAGGAATCGGCCTCAACAACATGTTCATCATGGTGTCCGACTGGCAGCACACTCACGTCAAAGACCCGGTGCCGGATCGAATGGCCCACGCCTACAAAGAAGCCATCATGTCCATCACCATCACCGCCCTGACAGACGTCCTCAAGTTCTTCATCGGCGTCACGTCCGACTTCCCCTCGGTCCAGTCCTTCTGCCTCTACACCAGCACCTCCATCATATTCTGCTACATCTACACCATCACCTTCTTCGGAGCCTTCCTGGCTCTGAACGGGAGGCGGGAAGGCAGCAACAGGCACTGGCTGACCTGCATGAAAATACCATCGGACAAACCCGACGGCAGCTCGAGGATGTACAACATCTGCTGTGTGGGAGGCGACTACGATAAGAGCACTGGAGCAGAGAAAAAACAGCCAGCGAGTAATTTCTTTAAGGATTACTACGGCCCGTTTTTGATCAAGCCCTGGGTCAAGGGGGCGGTAATCTTCCTCTACGTGGCATATTTAGCTGCGAGTATTTATGGATGTTTCGACATACAGCAGGGGATTGAGCTTTATGATCTAGCAGCTGATAACTCCCACGTTACGAGATTCAATAGGAAAGACAGGGAGTATTTTTCTGATTATGGTCCATCTGTGATGGTTATTGTGAGTGAACCGTTCCCATATTGGGACAAAACCAAAAGGCTTCAACTTCAGGCCTGCATGGAGGACTTTAGAACTCCCCAGTTTGTAGATAAGGACATCTACACGTCCTGGCTGGACTCTTATTTGTCTTACGGCCAAGAAAATCATCTAAACCTCGATGAGAAAGATGTTTTTCTCAAGAATTTGTCTCCCTTTTTTGAATTGTTTCCTTTTTTCAAGCAAGACGTGAACCTCACCGGAGACGTCATCTACGCATCCCGGGTTTTCGTCCAGACCGTAGATATAAACAGTGCCGGCATGGAAATCAAAATGCTCGGAGGTCTTAAATCCATCGCGAGCGACTGCAGCGCGGCGTCTTTATCGGTCTATAACCAGGAGTTCATCTTCTACGACCAGTACAGCGTGGTGGTGAAAACCACGATCAAAAATGTCATCGTGATCACGGCGGTGATGTTGGCCGTGTCGCTGCTGCTGATTCCCAACCCGCTCTGCTCGTTAGGGGTGGCTTGTTCCATCGGCTCGGTGACCGCCGGGGTCACAGGTTTCATGGCTCTTTGGGACGTCAGCCTGGACTCCATCTCTATGATCATTTTCAGCATCTGCATCGGCTTCACCGTCGATTTCTCCGCTCACGTGTCGTACGCCTTCGTCTCCAGCAAGAAGCCCACTGCTGACCAAAAGGCCATCGAGGCCCTTTCCAACCTGGGCTACCCCATACTTCAAGGCGCCTTGTCCACCATTGTAGGGGTGTCAGTGTTGGCAACGTGTGAATTTAACACCTTCAGAACATTCTTTAAGATCTTTTTCCTCGTCATGCTTATTGGGATGATTCACGGCCTGGTTTTCATCCCAGTCATGCTGACAGCGGTTACATGTGGCTCAGAGGAAAAGCAAAGAGACAAATGTGAAACCCAAGAAAAGGTCAGCAAACTATGACCATGTGTTGTAGGTGTAGGTTAAACATGTTCCAAAAACATTTACTTCGAAAGTGAATGAAAAGTCAGTATAAGCAGTTGCTTAAACATTTATTGATTGATTTAAACAATTACCGACTGTTAAACATCTAAATTTATCCAAATAAATGAAACCTTTTGTAAAAGAAATATATATATGCTGATATATATATTTACATTGAGTTTGCATTTAGGTGTATGTTGTAAGTTATTTGTTTTTATATGCATTTTGTTGTCTTTTTCTAAATCAATCGGCTTACTCAAATATGCCCATTGTTCTTGTTTTTTGTTCTTGCTGTTTTAATTTCTGTTTCTTTTTGATCTACCACTGTTTTAAATGTTCACTCCTCTTTTACATTACTGTGAGTTCACTGTGTTGTGTTTGTCTTAAAGCACTTGATTAGTGCTATATCAATAAAGTTTACTATTATTAATATTGTTGGAATGTCCAGTGGTTTTTTAAAAATCTATTTTTCTATATACAGTAATTTAATCAGGTTAGAAGGCAGGGGAAAGGTAGTGAGTATTATTAGTTTGACATATGGAGTCCCACAGGGATCAGTTCTCGGGCCCCTGCTCTTCAATATGAACATGCTTCCCTTTTTTTTTTCAAATTTTCTGAAACTTTCGCTCGCTCATCACCACATCTATCTAGCACTCTTGCCGAATTACTGTGGTCGTCTAACACTTGCTTTGTCGTTGTATTGAGATAATAAACTATTGGAAGCAACAAAACATTCTTCAACTTGATGAGTTTATTAAATTATTTTTTATTATATACTTTAGTTTTTTTAAGGGTTAGAATTGTTTCATTTATTCTATTTTTTTGTTTAAACATTTGCCTGTAAAGCACTTTTAATAACCACTTTATATGATAAGGTGCTATGTAAATAAACTGGCTTGCTTGCACAGTCAGTTGTAGTTTAGGTTTCAGCGACTATAAATTTCCTTAGAACTGATCTATTCTTTTCTTTTTTGTATATTTGACAATGAAGCTCAGTTTCACATTACATTGCATTCTCTTCTTCATGTGCACTTGTAAAATGTATGAAGTTGATAAATGAGCCTGTGTAATGTGAATAAATAGGACATAAGAAATAAGGTAAATGACACAATATTTACCAAATTGTCCTTGAAGTTTTTGATTAAAACAACATCCTGTTATTGCTGGTTTACTCTCAGAAATAAGATGACTTCAGTTTGCCCACAAAAGTCAAGCGAACATAAAACCTGAATCTGTATTTCTGTAATATCTCAGCTCAGCTCCGTAATACGCGTCTGTGAGCGCTGTCCTGAAATACAGCTAGAGTTCAGAGACAGTGGGAGTTTTGAACGCTGCAAAGCTCAGATCTGCCATTCAAACGCCACATTATTCCAAAACCCGCACATAATTAAAGCGGCGCCACGGTTTCTCAATTTCGGGGAACGGTGTCGGTGGCATATTCATCATGGTCTCCAACTGGCAGCACATTAACGTCAGGAATGTGTGCAGATGGCTCACACCTCAAATGAAGGTGCGATGTCCACCGACCGTCGTTATCATCGTGACTGATGTTTTAGATTTTTAAAAAATGCTTATTTATTACTTTAATTTTTGTTCTTTGGAGCCTTTTGCACATCATTATAATCCACTGGAGGTTTTGTAAAGGTATGAGAAAGGATGGAGGAGCTAATAGGAAGAAAGAAAGAAACCGGACACTTAGATCTGAACAATATCAACCCCGTTGCAATATTACTTCCTTAATAGTTTGTGCAGTATCAGTTTAAGTATCTTGTGTAGCATTTCGATGACAATATTTCATTGTCATCTCATTTTTTAGGTACAATATTTTGCTTTCATTTGTAATATTTCAATTTTCATGTGCAATATTTCACTTTCATGCACAGAATTGTCAATGTATTGTGCAATATTTCATTTTCAGCTCATTTTTTAGGTGCAATATTTCATTTTTTAAGCACGATGTCACTTATTATCTCAGTATAATTGCCAGCATTACTTTCTACTGTTGCATTCTAGCCTTATTTTAGCTCACTTATCATATTTTAGTAATGCATCCTACTTATATTTCACTGTTTTTCTACTTTTTGGGGACGGAATTTCTTATGGAATGATATTTAGTGTTTTTCTGGGTGATATCTGATACAACAATTTCTTTTCTTATCTTAACTTATCTTATCTTATCTGCACAACACACAAAGATTTTCAAAGCTCCACATTAAATCCATCTTACTTTATTCTTATTAAACCCAGATTCTGTGCTGCTACAAACACATTTGTCTCTTTTCCACAGCAGGAAAACGTCGTCCACTCATTCAGTTCAGTCTTTCAGAAGGGCACAGTCACTTTGGTGCTTGTTTAGGATTGGGAACTTTCCGTACAGCGGTGCAGTGACACCTCGTCGCAGGTTCAACCCGTACCAACATTTCAACACAGGACGAGCAAACCTGGGATGCAGCTGCTGCAGGTTGGTCGGGAAAAAAAAGGAAAAAAAAAGAGGTCCTCGGGTTCTCGCTTTCAACATCCTTCATGGTCGCTGCAGCGCTCAGGCCGACTCCCAGCTCTGTCACCCTCCGTCACGCCTGTCTGCCTTCACCCTGCTTCCAGGACGAGATGCCTGAAGCCCACACAGCGTGACGTGACATGGCCCTACACCCGGGACAGGGAGAGAGAGGCAGGGTGTCAGAGCTAATAGCAAGAAGGGAGAAGAAACTGATGAAATCCTCGTCTGCGGCTTAATGAAACCTAGATCCTTAAGTGGAGTTTCCCTGATTAATACATGAAGGAGCTGCGTTATTGATTCGAAGCATGTTCAGGTTGAAGGGAAGGCATCACAAGAGGCTGCTCATGACCAGAAGTATGTGGAGACACAAACACTTCACTGATTCTTTCTGGAATTTCCTTCCATTTAGCCCCAAAAGGTTGAACATAGATGTTGGTTTGGGTTGCAGTTCACATGAACAAAGTGTTAATGTGTGGATCAGTCAAGTTCTTCAACAGCAAACTGGGAAAACCATTTATGTATGAAGCTCTCTTTGGATGTAGGAGTATTGTGTTGAGTCGTCCTCAAACTGTCTCTCATTTAGCTTCTCCTCTCAATAGGATCCTATTAGACACTATTTCCTTATGTTTCTGTAGTTTTTCAAACAAGACCCACATAGCAGCTATACTTTATCTCTGTTTTACACCCAAATACCACCTAACATGTTTGGTTTTATATTGACTGTGTCTTATTTCTATTTGTTAAGATGAGATTCATGAGTTGAAGCTGATTTTAACTTATTAAAAACAGTCCCAAACCAAAAACACAAGGACAGAGTTGGATTCTTGAATCTCTTTACATCTCATACATTTAAAAAATGAATGGTTTAAAAAACAAACAAACAAAAAAATGTGAACACTGTACGGTTGTTTTAAAGATTTGTCCTATTTTGTTAAAGTACTAATACAGACTGTGCATGATACATCAAACAATCTAAAATAGTCTACGTCAAAAATCAGTATTTTTAAAAATGATGCTTCATTCTTCAGCGTCTGACAGTACAAATACATTATTTTTTAAAACTTCTTCTTTTTTTTTTTTTTTAAATCAGGAGAAATGTAGAGTGTAGAATTAGAGATAAAATCTTGTTAAAATTAATATAGATGTTGACTGTAAAAAAAAACAAAAAACAAAACTGTCCATAATGTCCACATCAAAAATGTGTACTTTTGTAAATAGTAATTAATTTTACACATTGGAATTCAGTAATTTGTTCTTTTACAATGTGTGATAGTAAAATTACACTTTAAAAAAAAAAAAAATCCCATTTAAATCAGCAAAAAAGCATTGTTGCTTGTTATCTTATATATATATATATCTTAAAGACTAAAAATGTTAAATAATGGGTAAACTGTTTTTTGTTTGGTGTTTCTTTTACTTTTTTTTCCTGTTGTGTTAAATTATAGCTAGCTCATAAAATAGTAGAAAAACTGGGCATATCTACATCAAAAATCTGGATTTTTACAAGCTGTGAATAATTCTTTGAAAATTACACTGTTTTAATGTTCCTAAATTAGCTTAAAAGTTTAATTATTTTATAGATATTTGCTGTTGTTGTCACTATATTTACAGTTTTTGAACATTACAGTATTCCATCTTTGTTTCAAATTATTTTTCTGGCTCCCTTGCTGCCAGATTTGTGTCACACAAGCAACAAAACAAGACCCACCATCCTAATCCCATTACTCCCCCTTTGCTTTTATTCGCAACCACAGACCACAAGCAGCTAAAAAAAAAATCTCCCATTTTTACCCACAAATTACACCAAAGACAACATTTACCCAAGTGCTTATGGATCACACATGGCATTGAGCTTTGGAGGTATAAATGCTGAAGTTTATATTAGTCTCCAAGGAAATTAAGAGGAAAAAAAACACCTATAATTTACAACTTTAAATCAAAATGGATAACTGAGCTGCTCCTGTATGGTGATAAACATCAAAAGCAGGAGTCTTGGTGTTTTAAATCTGATAACCTGAGTATTTCTTTCAGCACCGGACAGCTCCCCTCTCACCGCTCCACCGAACTGCTGCTCGGCGCTGATTGACAGAAGAAGCGGCCATACGCGGATCGATGGCGCTTCTGGAGCCCTATGAGCTGATGGAGAAGACGGGCTCTGAGGGCGCACGGATCCTGATGTGTCTCTCCGCGGCTTTTATAGGCTTACTTAATGCTCGCTGTGGTCGGAAGAGGGCGGAGTGCGTTTGTCATCCAAGTGAGAGAAGCTCCCCGACTCCCTAAAAAAAAAAAAAAAGAAAGAAAGAAAAAAAAGAAAAAAAATTATATATATATAAATATAATAACAAGCTGCCCCCTCCCTTCCTCCTCGTTTTGATTCAGTCTATGTAGCCTTCACGCAGGAGGAGAACGTCCGCCGCGCACAGCCAACACAGTCAACACAGAAAACAGCTGCAAGCGGAGACTCAACATCAACAAGCTGCATGAGGCATCTGTGAAGAAGAAGACACAAGGAGAAGAAGAAGAAGAAGAAGGGATACAGAAGAGGTTTTTTCCCAGAGCAGAGGCGTGGAGCTTACAAGAATATCCTACAAGTGGCGAAGCGATGGTCTAAGCGGAGCAATTTGGTAGATTTTCTTCCTTTTTTTTTTTTTTCTCCCTTTTTTCCTTTAACCCCCCTCCTCACAGCTGTTAATTCCGAGCATCTGTGGACGCTCTCTGGGAACGGAGATGGCTGTTTTCCGGCTGTCGTTGCTGCTGCAAGTGGGATTTGTGATCGGATCAAACCACCAATGGTCAGACATCGGTGCACGGGAGGAGATCTACGGCGCCCAGACGCACCACCGTCGGCAGCTGGCGCATCTCCGCGCGCCTCATCCTCCTCCTCCTCTTCCAGGGGAGACGGCGGCGGCGGCGGCGGAGCTGCCGCAGAAAATCGAGGAGCATCTCCCCCGGGTGGTCACGGCTTTCCTGCACACGGGGGACTCGAGCACCTTAACGCACGCCAACTGCTCGCGGAAGTACGAGCTCACCTCTCTGCGGGGAAGGTCACACGCAGCCCCGCATCGCTCCATGGGCAGCGTGCTGGATACGGTGCTGCACGCCACAAACTTCCTCAACATGATCCTGCAAGCCAACAGGTCCAGGGAGCAGAGTCTGCGGCGAGACATTGAGTGGTACCATGCCTTAGTCAGGAGCATCCTGGAGGGAGACGCCAAGATCCACCGGGCGGTCGTGACTTTTAGCGGGGATGCGTCCTTCGCGGGGCCCTGGGTGCTTCTCCAGGCCACCAGGGCCGGTGGGGAGATAGTCCTCCAAGACCTCTCCAGCGTGGCCCGCCACCATCTGCACAACCGCACCGCAGACACAGAGTGGTACCACGAGATGAAAGACAAGAAGAGCCCCAGCTTCCATAAGAGGGTGCTGAGCCAAGATTTCACATCAGTTGACAATTCTTTGAAAAGAGGGGAGAGTTTCATCCCGGACAGAACGCATGTGAAGTGGTCTGCGCCCTACCTGGAGTGTGAGAATGGGAATTTTGTCCCCCGCTGGCTTTTGACCTTATCGGCTGCCTTCTATGGCCTCAAGTCCAACCTGGCTCCTGAATTCAGGTAGGCACACCAGAGGGTTGTTGGAGTGTAAAATGAACCCATTTCCACCAATTCATGTTGTTGTAAAGCCTCATTTAGGTGCAACTGATCGACCCAAAGGTGAGTCCAGGTGGGTTTACCCTCCGCCACATCCACACCTGCCTCTCTGTGGTGATTCTAGGGGGGGTTTTCTTCTCCCCTCCTGTTTGACAAGGCGGTGGGAGCTGCTAAAAATAACCCTGGATGTTACTGGATGTAGCAGCAGCAGCAGCGGTGGAAAAACCTCTGGCTACAGGCCCTAATTCATTTTTCAAACTCACTCGGCTGCATGCTTTACTACTCAGGAGATGTGCCCTTTCTCTTCCCCCCTTTTCTTCAAGAGGGGAGGCTGCGAAATCTGCAGTGAGTCAGAACCTTCCTCAGATGACAGGAGGCAACAAAAAAAGAGAGAGAGAGAAGAGGGAGAAAAAAAAAAGCACAGCAGTCAACATCAGCAGATGAAGAAATGTGTTTGCTGTTTTTCCACCATGTCCTAAAGCCACCTCGGCTTCATGGTGTAATGTGCCGCGTTTCATTCCGGCAAATCACGCGCGTTTGGCGATATGCACCGGAGCAGTCAAGTGTTAAGGCTCCATAGGCTCCTGACCAACATCTTCTCAATGAATATTTAATCCGGATCGCTTGGTTGTGTGTGTGTGTGTGTGTGTGTGTGTGTGTGTGTGTGCACTGCCTTCAATGAATCTTTAATTGATACACTCAAGTTGCTCACAGGCAGGAACGGATTGCAAATGAGTCAAAACCTGCAGTGATTATGCTGTAATAGGCTATCAGCTACCTGGTGTTATCCAAGACTAAAGCCTCTCAGAGCAGCTTCACACACAGATCTGATAGTAAATTAGCCTCAGCTGATGAATAATCAAACCTGTCTTAGAGCTTACGGTTTATTAGTGAAGCCAGATTTGTTTGCAGATGTGTTCCAGAGGAGTTGAAGCAGCTTTAACGCCAAATTAGCAGTTTTGTTCCCCCTCCCACCCCCTCCCCGCTACTTTCAGCCGAGGCCTCGTCGGTGAGATCGAAGTGGTTTAACGCGCCGGTGTTTTGTATTGTTTTGTGTCCCTGGAGAGCGACCTGGTCTCGAGAAGAAACGATCCTTGGAGGAGCAGGGCAGCGACATCCAGTCATGGGTTTGGAGCACATTTCAACAGTAGCCTCACTGTAACTAATCCAGCAATGTAGGAGCTTAAATATGAAAAAAAAACAAAGGATCCAATGTCAGCGTTTAACCAAATAGTTCAAAATATAACTGTGAGACAAGGAGATGGACACGACTCCCTACACAGTATATGAAGACGGAACCAGGAGATGGCTAGGTTAGCTTAGCACGAAAACCAGGAAGCAGTTTCTTGGCGTTTTTGTTGTTTCCTACATTTTCACTCACTTTGGACCCTTTTCTTTTTTCTTGCTGCAACTTAAAGTCCTTCAACTCTGTAGAAACACCACAACCCTGTCTAGATGTAGAGAGAATTCATAAATGTCTACTCTGTTGTATCACACAGATATTAGGACACAAATTATATATTTTTTAAAAAACTAAATAAAAAAGAAAAAAAAGGAAAATTAACATTTCTTTGCTAATTTCTTTTACAAAAATTGGAGAAAAACTGGATGCAGCATGTATAAAAATTTTCCCACACATGCTACTAATAGTGAGCAAATCTATGGTGTCTCTACATACTATAGATTCTTGCTTTTATTATTCGTTTCCATACTTGTCTCCTGTCTGCTCTAGTTTAGCTGAAAATCACAGAGTCTTTGTCATGTGACTGTTGGTTGCAGCTAAACCACGTATTGTTTCATTGTTGCACCAGTGAGAAAGATATTTTTCACAGAATCCTGTTAGCGTTAAAGTTCAGTTTTTACACAACACATGTAAAATGACTCTGATGAACTATCCTGATTTTACGCTCAGGTTTAGTTATTTCTTCCTCCCTTAACTGAACGCCATTCACAAGTCTCATTCTGTCTGTTTTACCGTTTCCGGCTCTGATAAATGGTGTCATTTCATTGATTTTTAAAAGAAAACCAATGGAGTGATGCCTTTCAAACTGATGGGTAGTTTTGGGGGTTAAGAGGGGCCGAGGCATGACGGGTTAATCAATGCAGCTGTAGAGGTTCTGGTAGGGGAATTTTGCAGACTCAGGCAAGATGCTTCCTTTTGCTTTCTGTCTTTATGCTAAGCTAACCAATGCTAGCTTTAGCAGAGAGACTTTTGGCAGCCAAATTAATAAGCATAGTTCCCCAAATGTTGAATTATTCCAATTTTTTTGTCACTAAGTGGTGAATAAATTAAAACAGGGAACTAAAAAACACATTAAAGGTAAGAAAAGATGAGAAAATATTACAAAAACATCAGAAAAACCTACATTGGAGCATCTACAGCCTTCAAATATGTCAGTAAACTACATCTAGTAGCACAATTATAGTGATTTATGAAACTCCTCCTCGTTGGCTGACGATGCAACCTTCTAATTTAAGGATTTCTTTCTGTCCAGCTGATCAAAACACTGAAAACCAATTTGAATTTTAACAGAGAACACGCTGTTCTCCTCATTTATTGGACTGGACTGCTGTTCACCCGTGTTGCCATATCACTGAACACCTTGTTAGCTTGGCTTTATGTGTATTCCAGGCCTTCAAACTCTGCTTTTCCAAACCGTGCTCAGCTAAAGTCCTCATTTAATCGAGGAGTATATCAGGCCACAAAAGCAGCTTCCTTTTTTTTTTTTTTTTTTGCACGTTCTCATGTCCCCCTCGCCAGGCTCTCATTTGTTTCTCTCTTGACAGCCATCTTTCAGACGCTCATATCAAAGTAGCGGGCGGCTCATCCTGCATCCTCCCAGCTCGCTGCCAGATAAGAAACAGGAGAGGAAGGGAAGCGCTGGCTAATATAGCTGCCTCAGACATCAGCTCTCCTCCGTTTCCCCTCCAGATAAATACACAATCAATACAACAATGAATTAATAATGAAAGATGTAGAACAAAAAACCCTGCACGGAGCGTCTTTATTTCCAGCCTTTTAATGCTTCAGTCACTTCCGGTTTGAGAGAGAAGGGGGGGTGGCGGCGAAGAAGAAGCAAAGGTGTTTATTTATGCATCTTCCATATGGAAATCCAGACGAATCGAGGCTGCTTGCTTTTTTTTTTTACCCCCGTTTTGTTTGCTGAACACGCAGGTGCTAAACAACTAATGTGACTTGTTAGAGCAGGAGTGTGTGGACATGTGTTTGCGATGGATCGACCTGTTGTTTCTGCGAAGGTGTAAGAAATCGCACCTCTCACGCTTCATCTCTTCTCTCCCCGTCTGTCTCTTCAGCTGCACTCGAGGCACAGGGGAGGCAGATTAGACCGCACAGAGAGGACTGGCTGTTTTCGAGCATGCAGTGTGTGTCCATGTGTGTGTGTTTGTGTGTGCGTGCCATTGTTGGAGGCTCAGACATTCTTCAGGATGTGTTGTCCTAATTGGCAGATCACTCTAACTTCAACTCATGACTACAGAGAGAGAGAGAAAAAAAAGAAAAATAGCTCGAACAAACGCACAAAGTGGGAATACACGGGAAGAGAAAATGAGACGGGAGGTGCTGTATGTATTAGGCGAACACACACACTGTACTTCAAACTCACCTTTCACAACACGGACCGTAATTGCTTTGAGGCTGAAGCTCAGACGGCAGCAGCGGAATAATAAGACAAACTAATTGAAAGTATCTTAAAAGTACAAGCAAACGGTTCAAAACTATATGTATTTTCAGCACATTTCTCCAAAGGCCAAATAGGTTCTAATTAGATGGCAGAATCCTCTCCACTTACACTTCCAATTTTTTTTTGCACAAGCAGCTAAAGTCTGGACTGCCTGACTGCTATGGGATGCCCAGCCGTCTAACAGAGTGGGAGGCCTCGAGCTCCGGGAGGAGCCAGCGGCATCTGCTTCGATGGACACCATCCAGAAACAAATAGGAAGAAAACCCCACAATTCCCGAGGCTAAACGCGATAATGTTTGATGCTAAACTGAGATGAAAGAGGGTACAAAAAAAAAAAAAAAAGCATCCAAGAGGAAAATTAGTGGAGATCTGCAGCTATAAGCATAACAGTGCGCTGAGATAATTCACAGAAGGAAGCTGTCTAACCCGATGAAGACGGTGAAATTACAAGCCTAACCTTGTGCATTTTGCTTCTGAGTGCTACCTGAAGGAAGCAGGGGTTAAAGATCCCCGAGGTGCTCCTTCTCTCCCTGCTGACGTCAGTGGAACTCCGCTGCTCAGTAAGGTGGCCTGTCAATACGATGCCTTCAGCCAGTAAATGTCAACGCTACAGAAAAATCCAGGCTTTTTCTGCGGCGCTGCAAAGAGATGATACACTCCCCGTAATACTGCTAATGACAGGAATAATCTCAGTGATTTTGCTGGTATTATACCGATAAATCGGTAATATTCCTTCTGTAGGTTTATCCTTCAGTAATCTGATGTGAGTGAAATAGAGCCGTGGTATTACGGAGGAGGCTTCAGAGGCCTGTGCTGATGTGGGAAAGATTCGGAGTGGGGAGTTTAGCTGTTTTCACACCGTGAGTTGTTTTGCAAGTGGACAAAAGGTGTCTGTAAATCACAGGAGGACCTACATTGAAGGGTTTTAACAGGGTGAAAAAGATGTTGCAGCTTTGAGATAATGGATACTGAATATTGAAAATCAGCTGTAACTTAATCACAGACAGGAATCTCTTTGTCCTTTTGATCTTCCAGGGTATCTCCCTATAGGATTTCCACAGCAGGATCATTACAGTTTCACCTTGTGCTGTTTTGTAATGGAACTATCGGCAACATAGGGCCTATTTTTAACCTCTGGACTCCAAATTTGTACCGCTGGGTTTAAAAAGCATGTTTTCTCTAAAGGAAATGATGTAAATTCCACCGATTATCACAGCAAGGAAATGTAAAAACACAAATAATCATCAAATATTCAACTTTCAG